GGAACCCAAACAACTGTTGCCTGGCATTGCTTGAGCATTTATGAACCTCGCTTGACCGTTTACCATTTGCATTTTCGCAAGTTTTTCCATGCCATTTGGTTCTCTCGCCTGGCCAAGAGCCGTTGTTGGCTGCGTGTTTGCATAGTTTACCTTCTGTAGAGATCTGCCCCAGCAGTTGGACACGCCCCTACGCCCCTACGCCCACACGCCTGTAGCATTTTATTTTCACATTTTCAGGCGTCTCGTTTTGGGTTATTTATGCAGCAACCCTTCGGCCAGGCCCCGACCACACTCTTAATGCTATTTGCTTGCCATTTGGGCCAATAAATCATTTTGGGCGCAGATAAGTAATTTTTTACAGTGTTACGTCTACATTTTCTTACCAGGGCGCAGCTTGTGCACTCAGCTTTTCTTATTTTTCAATTTTTTCATTTTTTTCTTGTTCTTTTTTGTTTTCATTTTGCTTCCGTTCCGCTGCCTTCTGCTTTTGCTTTCACATCTTACAATGTTTTTCTTAGTGGCAATGCGATTTTGGGGTCTGTTGTGCCCTCGTCCTGAAATTCCTTTCCACAGCGGGAAGCAGGACTCTTGATTCATGACGCTGCTGTTTGGTCCAAACACAGCTCGATAGCTGAATGGTAGCTACACGGCTTGCAAGGTGGGGCCGCTCGGGCTGCTCCAGAGGAGTCGTCTGCTTATTGTGCTCTTGTGCGTAAAATTATTTGTGCTGCCTTCCCGAAAGTAGGCAAACGTCGAGTACACTTTGCTTTTAAATGACCTTTATCGAAACTGCGCAGCTATTTCAAATTTATCATAAAATTGCAATAACTTTTTTCCGTCTCTCTCTCTCTCTCAATCTTGTAGTTTTCCATTCATAACTAGTCTTGAGAGGCAACAAAGGAAAGCAGCTTTCGAATAAATGGGAACTCTATACTTTCATTGTGAATTCATAATTCGAGTCGAAAACAAATACGAATCCTGAATGTAAAAAGGGAATACTCAAGCTGCTTTACTGTGTGGACTGAAGCCTTTAAGCAGCATAGTTCGCTCCGGTCTTCTTATCTTTAAAGTTTTGCGGTCGCGTGCGAACTGACATACTTTAGAAACTACCCACCCGGCGCAGCAATATTTGATTAGCTCTGGGAACTAGTTTATGTTTGTCATTTGCTGCCGCTGGCAAAATATTAATATTAATGTAATTTTAGCATCTGCGCTTAGAAGTGCCTAAATATGCCCAATCAAGCGTCTTGTAGTTAGCAACACCTGCGGATATACACGGCCAAGCACACTGTGCATGTGTGTGCGCTTGTGTGTGTGTGTGGGTGAGTGGTTTGGTGGTTCGTTGGTTAGGTAGCTTGAGTGTGTATCTCACGAAATTTCACAGACAATTTGTTTGTGGGCGTTGTACCGGTAAAGTGGCACGCATTAAGCGGTCTGATTGAAATTTACGCCTGAAAGTTTTTGGGATTCTGTGGTCGTGTCTTTGTTAGGGGTGTGTCAATAAATGCCCCAGCAGGTGGGGGGCGCCGCCTCCACATTAAAGCAGTTTAGAGCATATTCTTGTGGACAGGAGAGCTCAAGAGTGCTCGTTGTGAGCTGGAAGGGAAATAAATAAATCATGCTCATACTATCTATATATTCCCATCATCTCCAAATGTTTCTCTAAAATTAAACCACAAAAGTATTTGATGTTTGAATTTCAATTCTATTTTTATATGGCAAGAATTTGTTATAGCATTTATAAAGTTCTCTCGTTCTTCAATCTTTAACGAAGCCACAGAAACATTTAAAGCTCAAGTTTCTGCTTCTGACCGAGCAAGGATTTGGCATAGTCTGTTCGACAGGATTGCCAGGCGAAATGCAATCAAGGCGCATGGTGAATAGGAAATAAGACTGCGATGTTAATATTCTACCGAAAACTTACCACAATTGTGTTTGTTTGCGTAATGCTGCATGCTGCATGCTGCATGCTGCTTGCTGCATGTTGTTTGTTTACCTTACCGAAAGTATACGTTTATTATTCCGAGCTGTCAGAAACGCTCGGTGCACATTTGCCAAGTTATTTCCTAAACTGACTTGATGCAAACCGCATTTTCAGTTTGTGTTTTCCTTTCCTCAAATAACGAACTCAACTTGACATCGGCCTCAACCATTTGGCAAGAGCAGCTGCTGCTAGCAACAGCAGCAGCAGCCAGCAGCATATACAAGAAAACTTTTATATTTTGTATAAGAAAAGTTTATAAAAGCATGTTATTCTTTATCTAATATAGTAGATGTTATAGAGGACTGACTATATATATAAATTTAAAAAAAATGTATTCATATATTAGAGACTAATTGAAGTCACAGTTAAATATATTTAATGTATGACATGTGGCCAAACTTTTTGCCGGTTCACAGAGCCGAAACATGATCTGTGCATGCCGAGTTCATTCCACGCTTTTTACCTTGATTTTTATGCCATTTATTTGCATATGCCATAAGCGAACAACTTTGGGAAAAAGTTTGAGTCAAACTTTTGACTGCATGCAAGTTATTTCATGCCCAATTGTTGGCCATTTACATTGCGGCTATCCAGTCAGAGTTGTTTTATGGCTTACGCTCATTATATGCCGTTGCGTCTAAAATATGCGTAGGCTCTGTGGACTCTGCCAGTTCCGGATCGGATCAGAATTCATAATAATTAGCAAATTGAAGCCAAACTGACCGCAACTCGTAAGCCTCGCCCACAGAGATGTTGCTAATTTCTGCAACATATTAAACGTGATTAATATTTTCTTGGACTCTGTTCTTTTTTTTTCTGCCTTCGGCTTGTTGCTCCCGTTTGTTGTTTTTGTTGTTGTTGTGGTTGTGGTTGTGGCACTCGCATCCTGCTGTGCCCAACATTTTCGTTAGGGCTCTTTATTAATGAGCTCTGCTGTGTCTGGGCAGGACTGGGCTATTTGTTGTTGTGTTGTTGTTATTTATTGTACGAGTATTTGCCGCTTTGCCATGTTGATTGCGTTGAGGTTAAATGCGTTTACTTTTTGTATCGCCCCTTTCAGCTGACTTGCTTTACGGTCTAGCTGCCCCGCCCGAAAATTCGGACCATAAAGGCCAAACGGCCCCAAGCGTTAAGTGTGTTCTCATTTGCTTGATGTGGAATGGGCCTTAATTAATATGAATTAATTTAAGTGTTAATTGCGAGTGGATGAGTGTTCCATGCCACTGCCGTCAGAATAACTACACATACACTGAGCGAAAACTAGCATGCGATTGTGGCTCAACTTTATCTTATTTGTCTTCAAACGAGATTCCTTTAAGAATTTCAATTTGAGTTTTGTTCTCACCTTGCTTTAATGGCTGCCTTTCATGTGTGGCCCGGACGTGGTTCATCAATCACGGCGACCCCGCCCCATTTTGCCCATATTGTAGTGTATTGTTGCAGCGAAAGGCGATAAGAGCATTACTCAGCCGAGTTCGGTTAACGTAATTTAGCTAACGACATAATAATATAATTAACTGCCGATTGCACAATGTTGTGCCTAATTCTTGCAGTGTAGCCGGACAGCTTTCAAGATGTTTATCATTCAGTTACATTGCTTTCAAATGTTTGCTGGATTTTGTGTGATTTTTAGTGGGACAGTCAAAGATTATAGTGAGAGGCAAAGGCATAGTTCGGTTGCTTTACTTTGCCTTGTTTTGTGTTGTCTATGTAATTAATATTAAGTATACGCCGTGCTTGACAGCTTTCCGTTGTGCACCATGGCACGTACTGGAAAAGGACACGCAAGATCCTCGCTGCCAGCGATGTCAAGTCAATTTTTTTGGTCAACAAGGTGAGCCGTAGGACGATCAGAGGAGTAAATAATAAATAAATATTTACGAAAACGTTTCGGCGGCAGGACACGTACTGGGGATTAGCTGGAGCAACAGCAAGCACCAAACGCTGCTGCCAAGACGTGCCGGCTATCTGCCCAAATCTCTGACCAAAACTCAGCACAGAAAACTTTTCTAGCTATTAAACTTTAAAGATGAAAGCGACAGCTGCCGCAACTGCTGTTACTGCTCCGACTTCTGCTCCTGCTCCTCCTCGTGGTTGCTGCTGGTAAGGCAACCGAGACCGCAAGCGCTGACCCCCAGCGGCAATAACCGCAGGGAAACGGCCTAGGGATTGGTTGCCCGCATAGATTTACAATCAGCTGCTGCCTCTACCGCTGCTCCTGCTGCCACTGCTCCTGCTGCTGCTGCTACTGCTGCTGGTTGGTTGTCTGGCATTATGCCACAAATCATAAAAGCGCATCTAGTATACACGCCAGTTACGCGTGTTCTTGTTCTTGTGTGCGGCTCTGTCCTTCTGCTTTCTCTGCTGTGCGTATACGTGATATTTTATGGGTCACTCGCTTCGCAAACGTCTCATAGTTTTATGACCACGCCCCAAGCGGCCACAATTCGATTCTCTGGGCAACAATAGCAGCCGTAAAGCCCCGCTTGTAACTGTTACTGTATCTCATTACAGTTGATTTACAGATTGGGTAAGCGCGAACCTATTGAAATATTATCAACACCTTTGTTTGCAGCGTTGGCCTTCTCTTCCAGCTAATGGTACTTAAGTGACGGCTAAGATTTCCACCTCTGCCTATTATGGGAGAGAACTGGGGCGTGGCAGACTCAAGAGAGCTTTTAGAACGGACTCAATAATTACCTCTGAATGACTAAGAAATGTTAATTATCAAATTTGAAGACAATATAATATAAAAATTTAATATATATTTTAATATATTGCAAATTTAAATTACAATTTATGTTCCCTGAAATGTTTTGAGTTTGAATTTGATCAAAGTCTAAAGGATGTGGAAACCAAAATCGCTTGACTTTATTATTTTTAGTTCATCCGAGCAATGTGCCTGCATATATGGATATTTTCGTTAGGCGTAAAGAAAATAAATATTCAAATACAGCAAATAAACTTGTCGAATGCAGAAATTCAATTAGTGAAATGAATTCATTTTCACACTTTGTTAAATGCCAAAATGCGGAGAACTGCTCACAGTGAACTCAAACATGCTTTGGCAATCCTTTCGCAGAACGAAGATAGAATCTGCATGATGGACTACTAAATGCCCATTAATGCACTAAAATTAAGAAAAAAGCTAGGAGTTAACATTATAGAGAATGTATTAATTATTATAAGAATTATTATTATTATTATTATTTTAATTTTAATTATAATTTTATGATTATTATTAATATTATTATTATTTTAAGTACAACATTTTTTATAAGTATCTGCATGCTCACCTGTGCGTATTCATTCAAGGCTTTTAAGTCTATTTGCTTGCCACCTCGATATTCACAATTTTTCGCATCGCTGCGTGCTCGAAGCACAAAAACACTTCATATGCAATTAAATGTCTAAAAAAGATTGTGTGAAAAATTCGAATGCATGTAAAATAATTCAAGTATTTTTCATATCGTCCACTCACCGAGAATGTGTTACAAAAATAAAATAAAAGAAAATAAAGTGAAATAAAAGAATTGGTAGGTATTCGGGTATTTATTATAAAAAACGAGCATATGGAATATATTGTCTGATATGCCAAAGGCAACAAATCTTTATCGATATCAAATTTATTGCAATATTTACAGAGTACAGACGCGTCTGACATCCTCAGCTTGTTTACTTTGCTTACTTTGCTGCGCACTTTAAAATTCATGTGCAATTTTCGCAGCTGGCAAATAATTTATTGATAGATGCCGTAAGGCTGGAGACATCACGCAGAGTGCTTGAATTAGTTGTTGTAATTTTAATAAATTTTACTGATGCTCTTTCGTTGAAATGAAAATCACACTCAGCTCTTGATTACATTATAAAAGTGTTGAAATTAAGTACTTCTAGCTTAACTCGTAGACTTGAAGAGGCGTTCGATAATTGAAAATCATATTGCCAGTGGAGTGCACTGTGTAAATGTTTATGGGGCTTGCGGCAGCCATATTTGAAAAGTAAAATTGAAAAGAACACCAAGGGAAGCCACACACTCGAGCAGATTGCACAGAAATTGTGTGCGAAATTAAAAAGAGCTTGATGTTGAAATAAATTGAGCAAAATAGTGGCAGCTACTTAAGTGAAAATATTTTTTTTGGCGCTTGTAATAACTTGACTGCTGCTCTGGCATTATGTCCTCCGCCGGCCGATGGAGGGAGGATCCGAGTCGAAAAAGAGCAATATGAAAGGGGACTTGAGTGCAGTGAGTGTTGCGGCTTTGGGTGCAGATGCCGGCTGCCGGCTGCCTCCTGCCTCGCTACTATATAAGCATTTGGGAGTGGGCCAGGTCCTATGCCTGTGCTACATTCATACGTTTTCGATTAAGCGGCTCTGGACTGGTTCGACGCTGGCAGCCAACAAACACTTGCCAAAAGGAAGCGGAAATTTACACAAAGACAGGATGTAGCAGAACTTGCAGTTGTAAGTGGCCAAGCTGCAGCCGAAATGAGGCGAAATTGCAACGTGCTAGCTGAGGCGCCGAAAGGCCAAACACGTGGCTGTTGCCAGTGCCTGGGCCTGTGCCGTGGCTGACTGACAGGCCATTAATTTTGGATTACCCAAGCACTACAGGCACCGCCGCCAAATCCGGCGACTGGCGGGCCCCAGCCGAACCTAGAAATTCACAAGCTTGCGGCTTGCCACTTAGCTGGGCTGTTAAGCATTTCATAATGCCCTCAACATGCCTAGTTTTCTTCCGTTCCGTATATACTTTTTTCTCGCTGCCTCTTGGCCAGGTCGTTAACGTTAATGACAACTTAAGTGGTCATATATAATTTCTGAAAATTATTTCTACCTGTGCAACAAAGTGGCACAAAGCAGCAAACTGCGCTATTATTGCAAGGATAATAAGCTGCAATGCGGGCAAAATGGAAGACTGGAATACAGCTCGGGCTTTAATTACAGCTTTTGGCAAATTGAATGGCCAAAAACAATATTCAAATGCCTTGAAACTTTTCGGCACACGCGTCCGTAAAAGTCTACAAGCAGCTGGAATCAAAGCAAAAATCACTTGGAATGAATATCATTTGCATTGCAAGTCGTCTTCAATGCCCGAGCAAACACTTGGCCAGCCTTCAAAAGTTTCGGCTAGTTTAGTTGGCAAAAGTATTTACTTTCCTTTTTGTGCTGTTCGGCATAATGCGACGAGTGTGTAAATATTAAAAATATTTCATGACTAAATACCTATTGGCTTTCATCAAGCAAGTCAAGAGCTGGGCAAACAAACAGTGCAGAGCCAAATTTAAGGAAATAAATTGATGTATAAAATAATACAAATACAAATTAAGCAGGCTAACACAGTTGGGACCAGGCGACTAGAGAATACTCTACTTTAATATAATACTTTAATCTATTAAAAAAATCAATAAAATAGCCCTCGGTATATGGACTATATCATTTATAGGTTTATTGGTAGAGGAGGGCGAAAATATATTATATCTTGAGTATAGAATAGTTATCGATTTGGCATACCCTCAATAGATAATGATATATACTTATCGATTTTGTAGATGGGGCTTAGGATAACAAAGTTTTAATTATGGATCTTCCATTGTATTATATTATAAATATTGTTATAGCACATATACCATTTTCAATTTCGTTTCTGAGATGAATTATTAAAGAGTATCCATAGAGGGTGAACAGATAGCCTGAAGGATATATTGCAAAAAGTGCACATACACAACATAATTTATATACTTTAATAAAATTGTAAATAAATGAGTTGAGGCAAGAAAACTGTTATATACATTTCAAAAAAGCAGAAAATTGCTTAAAGTGCGTTTCGGACATCTTAAAAATATAACGTATACGCTTTGGAGCCACGTAACGCATTCGCCCAGTTGTCCAAACTACTTTCGCCTAATTTATCTTGTTGTCAGCCTGGCAGCAACAAATGCAGCCGCAATAGTTGAATTACTTCACATATAACCGAACCCCCGCACACACACACACACACACAGAGAGAGAGAGAGGAGCACAGAGACACACAGACTCATGGGCAGGTGGCGTAAAGTGCTAGAAAGTGTAACTGGGTCGTTGGTAAGTAACTAAGTAGGCGAACTAAAAGCAAAAGCAAAAACAGCCGAGAAAAGTTTTTCACTCGATGTTACAGCTTTTTTGGGGCCAACGAGATAAAATGGACACACCTTATGTGTTTTCTGTTCGGGGCCAAGTGTGAAATAAAGTGAAGAAAATTGCAGGTAGCTACACACACACACACACACACACACACATGCATAGACGCCTACCAACTGCTGCCTACTTATAAGCGGCCAACTCAGCCCGAGCGAAATGCCATAGCAATTTGTTAGCGGGTCGGTGGAGCATCGTGCAAATGTAATTTACTGGTTGCTCTTGCCTCATGCCGCCAAAGCAATGTAGCCGGAATTTATTTGCGGCTATTTGGTAAAGTGAAAGCAAATTCAAGTCTGCACATACCAAGAAAGAAATTGCCCAGCCATGCTTTAAGGTCACACATAAAAAGACTAATCGTTAAGAATGTTACTAATTAAACATTCGATTTAAGGCTTTCACTTGAAAGAAATATGCTCAAATATGTCGAAGTTAGATGTATGTATAAGCAAAAGGCCCTGTGACAAAACATATACTTACGATAAATAAATACATACATATGATGCCCATGTCTCTGGGCTCCCAGTCGCTTATTCAAATGTATTTTAGATCGCAGTGCCAAACATTTCGGTTGGCTTCGTCTAAATGTCGTGACGGCTCTTGTCCTGTTAGCAACAAGCGAGAAATTGTTGAGCCACAGCTGAGGGAAATACACTGAAAGAAATTGGTTTTAAAAGTGCATTTAATAGACATCATTATTTTTTAAATTATTACATAAATATATATTACAATTAAAATATTGCTTATGTATATTTTTATTTCATATATTTTAATCACATTCATTTTATTTTATTTTTTTTTATATATATTTTATTTTTAATATATTTATATTTCAATATATTAATTTTGGAAGTTCATCATTTTTGCATTTAATAGACATCAATATATATATTTAATTATTGCATTAATATATATTACAAGTAATACGGCTTATTTAATGTATTTTGACCACATCTATTTCATTTAATATTTATTTTATAATTTTTTATATATATTTATATTTGAATATATATATCATTTTTGGCAGTTCATCATTTTTGCAGTTTTCGCCATAATTTGCATCATCAATAATATTTAAAGTGAAACTTTTAGATTTGTGGCAGTGTTCGCGGTTTGCCGTCTTGGGTGTCCTTGCCACATCCTTTGTACTGTCGCCATTATGGCCATGGTGTTTAGGAAGCAAAGCCCGACGCTTTCGCTTCATCATCAACTTTAGAAGTGCCGCAAATCTTTGCGGTTTCGTCTTAATGGCTAAGAAATTGTGATTTATGCCTTCACTTGTATGTATGTATGTATGATGTATGTGTATATATGCCATGCTTGGCGTATGTTTATATGTATGTAAGCCTGTCTCTGTGAGTGTGCTGTTGCGTGATTTACATGCTCGTTAAATTTCACTAAAAGGGTGTATAAGCATTTCTTTTGATCTGTGACGGGCGAATCCGTGGACCGGCAGCTTTAAGGCGTTTCGTTACCTAATTAGCCAGAAATTAATTGCCATCTGAAGGTGCTCAAACAAGTTTCAAAGTAAGCTCCTCCTTTCATTAGAGTTAGCTTCACAGCTTTTGCGTTGCCCATTCTCAATTTCTCAATTGTTTGTCGCTGTCGTTTTGCTCATGAAATAAGTTTAATTAAATTACAAAAATTGGAGATTGGGTGGAATCCTTTCGTTTCGAGTGCCAAACTGGAATACTTCACTAATAAACTTAGCAAATTAAGATTGGTTATTAAGTAATTGGATTTGGATGAACTTAAATATGCGCTCCAGCTTATTTTCTGCAAAGTTCACAAAGTTGAATGGATAGAGACAGTTTTACTTTGCCAAAATAACAATCACCGTGGATGATGGAGCTAAATATATATATGTATTTTAAGGTTTTCACTAAGTTAGAAATACTTGCTCTAGAATAATACTACATGCGAATATAAATTATAATGCCAATAATTATCATACACAGGTATTTTAATCTCTATAAAATACAATTTTTGCTTTGTTTTATCTTAATTTACAAATTTATATAATTTCAAGTAAGCCTCAGAATTTAAAGCACTCTGCAAGAGAAATAAGAAAATATATAATCCAAGTTAATATATTCTGCTTTACGTTACGTTAACTTACCATTTCCGGTGTTAGGCCGGAGTAATATGGAACACGAAACTCTAACGGACCTTGTGCAATGGGGTCCCGGACCTCTTTAAGGATCTTCAAGGCTGCACTTATAAACTCCACACATGCAAATCGTGTGCCGAAATAAAAGTGGATGGTTTTCATTTTGGAGCACGCCTCTAAAATCCGTAAAAGAGGTTGGGAAATATCATAATAGTCATGGTACGTAGTGATCTCGAGCACTTCCAGGTCTTTCAAATATATTAAGCTTTGCAGGCTTTCCTCTTTAGCCAATCCACACTTTAGTCTGCGGAGTGAATTTATTTTGCTTATTTCCAGAATCTCTTCAGGGCTCACCTCACTTTTTGTAATATCCAGACTCTGTAATATCTGGTTTGACCTTAGCGACATCGCCTTGAGGAGGCCCGTTAGGGATCCAACCTCTGTTGATACGACTTCAAGAGCAGTTAAGCTGTTGAACTGTGCAATGCACTTAATGCTATCGTTGTCCGACTTGTGGTGCATTAAGTGCAAGGACAGATCACGAAGGTACTTCAGCTCACGCAGAAGCTCAACGCTCTCATTGTGAGTGAAGGTACACTGTAAACTGTCCAAATTTTTAATTTCAACAAGAAACTGGGAGTCGCTAAGGTCAATGGGTGTGGATATTATATTCAGGAGGCGAAGCGTGCGTGGACCTGCAGCAGCCAATATTTCAATTAATTGCGCTAATATTTCTTTTTCTATTGATGTTATAACAAGTTCTTCCAGTTCATTCATCTGAGCCAGCGATTCAATATTATGCCCATCAAATCCACATTCCAATCTCTTCAATGATTTAACATTTGAGACTTGAGCTGTTTCTTCACCAGTAAGTTGATACTCCTCTATGATCAAACATCGGAGATTTGACGACTTTCGCAGAGATAGAGCCTTGAAGAACGGTGTAAGGGAGCCCTGCTTATGAGTTGTTATAAAAAGCTCCTCAAGCGCTGTTAGCTTCGCCAGGACCTCAATGCTATTGTCATCAATGAATCCACATTTTAGTTTTTTCAGCGTCAATATTTTCGCAATCGCATTGGCTTCATCTATGTTGATCATGGGCTTTGGAAACGAATAGCTAATGTTGCTCTGCACAATCTGAATTTCCTGAAGAGCTGAATTCTCGACTTCTGCAAGTGCCTGGAATAAACCTGCAAATGAGCCAACCATGTGCATTCCCTCTATATATAGAGTATTCAGAGGAGGCAGCCCAGCCAGCAGCGCATAGTCCCCAGCGTTGTAGTCCGTGTCTTCGTAGGAGGTGTTTACAAGTTTAAGTTTCTGAATATCCTTGATGTACGTAATCTCACGGTACTCTCGAATAACAGACACTTCATTTCCGCACCCCAACAGAACACTCAAAACGCCTTCCCTAACGTCATTCAAATCACTCACCGACTTGATGCGCAATTCCCGAAGAAGAGGCAGACTAGCCAAGAGCTTTATGCTTCGAGGATCCATGAATTGACACTCTACATTTTTTAATGTTTTCATTTGGCTAATTAGGAGCACTTCGTAATGACATACGGGATCCATTTCAATGCATACCTCTTGAAGAGCCGTCGATTGCTTGTAGGCAAATGCTTTCAATAGTGGGGCCAGAGTCCCAACAGCATGTCGTCCGTTTATTACTAGATAAGACAAATTGGGAAAATTTGTTAAGGGCTCAAACTCGTCTGAATACATAGTCTCATTCATTTGAATGGTAAGCGTTTGCATACTCCTATCTACACTTAGGACATCCGTATAATAGACGTTAAAAGTCCTATTAAGTGACATTCTTAACTTCAATAAATTGTCGGAGACTTCCTTGAGCTTATGCCATGAGATTATTCCAAATATTTGCAATTTTTGCAGTTTTCTAATCATATATATGTTGTTTATGTCGACAAATCCACATTTTAGCGTATTTAAGCACTTTAGCTTCACAATTTCAGAAAGCTCTTCCGTATTGAGAGGGTGTTCCTCTATGCGCAAATCACAAAGCTTTGAGTCTTCCTGCAATGCTAATGCACGGAAAAGCTTTGCCAGAGATCCCCCTCTGTAAGAACGAATGGACAGATCTTCGATTTCCGGCAGTTGGGAAGGAAACTCGATAGCTCTTATATCACATAATTGACATTCGATAATTTTGAGTGATTTTATCTTTAGAAGCTCAATGAGTTCTTCGTTGTTGAAGGTAGTAATCATTTTAGGTGACAACTGCATGCTTTCAAAAATCATGGATGACCGTGCGATTAATCGTTTCACTTTCGGTGATTTTTGTGACGCTATAGCTTGAAAGAGTGGCTTCAGTGTTCCCCGTTTGTGATTTGCAATAAGAAATAAAGAAGAGATCTTAATCACATCAGGCAAAGCCGCCAAGACTGTGGCATCTACTTTTTGCCTAAAGTACAATGTCAGATCCGCTGACTCCTTATGGAAGTTTATCGAGCGAAGGATTATTGTAATACCCTCACTTCCATTGATTTCCACATATTTTGAAGAATGTACTTGAAGCAGTTCTGCAATCTCCTTAAAATCAATCTTTGCTTGATCAATGATTACCTTTTTAGGCATATTGGGCTCTTTTGAGATTAGTGCCATAATAACTCTAGTTAGTAATTGATAAATTGACGTATGCTCATAGTCAGTAGAATACCTGTTTGCTTTGAATGCAATGTGACTGTTAATAACCTCTAATTAGATTAATTAAATTCTGTAGCTGTTGCGCAGCCTGCGATAAATTTCGAAAAAAAATTCAAAGTAGATCCTGCGAATAGAAAGTTGTAAATAAATATAGATAATAGATAGAATAAAAATAAAATAAAAAATGTATTTTTATTTTATTTACTTTTTATTTTTATGAATAAATAAAAACTCACCTTCTTCACAAAATATTGAAATATTTTATTATCAGCACCAGTTCACAGTGAACACTACTAGTATGTGACTGATGATTATGCCGTACTTGTGCTTACTGTACTATACGTATATTAGATACAGATAGATATATTTTTAAATATATATATTATTTTAAAAATATATATTTAAGTTTATAAAATATTTGAATATTTTAGGATCTGTTTGCTGTGAGCACTATTATGAGACTGCTGAATATATCGTTATGTATTTGGGATATGCCTACAGATTCGATTGTATTGAAATCTCAAAGCATCCTATTCGGTTAAAATTTTAACAAAATAATGTTTTATATATTTGCGTTAATTTATAAATTTTCCATAATAGAAGTTTCTTAATTTCTGTTACAGAAAATACCGCAAAAGCACTCACAGCCAATGAGATCAAAATAATTGGATTTATTCAATATTTTTGGATATTGTTTCACAATATCTTTACATCTGATTTATTATATAGAATATACAATTTACATGCAGTCGCTTTATATTTGTTTCATATATATTGTGGTAAAACTCTTTGTAATTTGTTAGTTTTAGGGAGTTGCTAAATTTTAGAAAAAGTCTCCTGCTGAAAATAAATTGAATTTAATGGTTAATCAAAGACCATTCATTGCATGACTCATACAATAACGATAGATATTGAAATTTATGTTATATGTGTAATTAGAGGCTATATACATTTATGTGTGGACCCATGCAGCGTCGATATCTCACGATTAGAATGTAAAAGCCAAACGTAAGCAATCTAAGAGAGAAAGAGAGAGGTAGAGCATGATTGAGCACTATTGAGTTGTTGAACAGTGTCAGACGGTGAGTCAGATCACATTGGGCTCTTTAAGAATATTTGCAGTAGATCTGAACTGAGTAGGCAATAGCAAGAGATGTTTGTGTGTGTGCGTGGGAGAGAGACTGAGGTTTTATTGCTGACCTTCCACTCTACGAAATAATAAATTCTTTAATATATATATGCTTTCCGTTCCGCGTGTGCAAACGAGCGTGATAATCGGCTATAGGATGTCTTCATAATAAAATGATGTGAATATGGATGTAAGCTGTCTCTGGCCCAAGAGAGTGAAGTGTTTGTAAAGAATAAAGAGTAATAAGATTGCTTAATACACTGCCAAGTAAGATTCTATATTATTAGAGTAGTAAAAGAAAAGCTTGCATTCGCACAAATTGCCCAAGTCGTAATAATAAATCCAATAAAAGCAAATAAATTCTGGGTTAAATAATGGAATAATTAATCTTAATTTAAACATTTTTTTCGCTCTATTTTTCCGCACTATTTTCGCCGAATAGTTGAAAGTTTGAATGTGAAGGCAGCTGAGCTGGAAAACCCGTTTAATTTTCATGGGCGATGCACATAAATTTCGCCGCCTGGGCATCACTGGCGAGCGGCTGAAGGTGATGTAGTATGTGGGGGGCGTGAATGGATAGGGGTCTCGGAAATCTTGTAAACAACACGAACAAAAGTTGCCGCTCGAAATTTAGTTTCGATTGAATTTATAGCTGCTGACCAAGGTCCGAAATGGGTCATACGCTCGCTGTCGGCCCAACCAAATCCGCACCCAATCCAAGTGTTTTGGCCATTTATTTAAGCTGCGGCCAAAAACAAGCGCGTAATTTTCAGAAATCCCCTCTAAATGATTAGCATGTGCTGGCCAGCAACCGGGCTGCGAACAAGTGTTGCTCCAAGCCTAATTAGTTTAAAAGGCTGCCCTTCTGCGAATCGATAAATCCAACAGTTGGACGCACTTCTTTACAGTTGTCAGTGGCCAAGATGGATGCCATGGCCATTGCCAATGGCTGCCAAGTATTCAAAGTGACTGCCAGGCAAGTGGCATTTGGCTGGACTACGTCCATAAATTCCAGGCGGACACGCAGCCAGCCAAAACTATTACTCACACTCACGCCAGTCTCCAGTCTCCAGCCTCCAGCCTCAGTCACCCCCACACCCCATCTTCAATGGCCGTTATGCTGGCCGCCTTCACTTGGTTATAATTTAGATTGTCTATTTCGCGCAGCTGCCGCTCGACTTGAGCTTCAGCTGAGTCCTGGCAATTGACGTTGTGTACGTGCCGCACTCGAGATCTATCTGCGGGGCAAGTCTATTTGGCCAGAACAACACTGTTGCCGTTGCCAAATTTTCGGCGCTCAGTTTGTCTTGGCCCTGCACGCGCCAAGCGCAAATGGAGTCCAAAGTGGCTAAAAGCATCGGTTCGCTTTTACATAATGCGAGAGACTGCAACTCAATTGGATCAATAAAAATATAATATATATATATATGTATATACTATATAAAGTACAAGTGGAGATGGAACGCATGACTTAACGAGTGAACGTCTGCTCTGGACCATATTAAATAACTGTTTTGGCACTTGTTAGTTCAATTAGAGTTTCGACATGACAGCAGCAATTGTTTTCGACTACTATCAATAGGAGAGATGCCAAAAGAGTTTCCAGTGGAACTCGTTAGCAGCTAAAATTGGCGCTAACTCTGTCAATCAATAAAAACAATTTAAAAGCAATCAAAGTTTAATTACCACAAGAGGTGACGCGCAGCAAAAGCAAAAAAAAAAAGTAAATAAAACAAGCGAAAACAATAAACACTAACGAATTCACAAGGATAAAGAAACACAATGGCTGAAGCATAAAGCGAAAGGGCCAAGCCAAGGCGAATTCATAGACATAGACACTCCCCGCGGAGCCAAGGCAGAGTCTTACCATATGAGGCGCGACCGTACAAACCACATAAATATAAAAGCGACAATCAGAATGTTGCGGTGGGACGATGCAACAAAAAAAAAAAAAATGAAGAAGAAGAAGGAGAGGAAAAAAGGAGGCAGCCATAAAAACAAGAATGGCCATAAACAAAGAAATAAACAAGGCATCAAGCGGTAAGTACGAAACATATACGAGTGCACGCCGAATCTGACTGTTTGCCACAAAGCTTCCGGCGGAAATGGAGTGTGCACACACACACACACACACACATAGACACATACAGCGAAAGAAATAGACGCACAATAATGCCAGCCAGCGCTGCTGGCAACAGCGCGCTAAATATAAAAGACTGATAGCCGGCTTAAAGGCATCACATTATGAGGTTGACACAAATATAAAAGAAATAAACAAACGACTGACTGTCTTCGTTATTTGCCTGTCACAGAAGCTTCTGCTTGATGTAGACAGTGCCTCAAAAGCGACAACGCACCAGCACATAAAAACATATTTACAGCCATAAATGCCGGCAAGCAAGCACACCTGAGCCCTTTAATAGAAACTGGGGGAATTATGGCTTAAAGTTTCGCACATTTCTCAACGAAACGAATAAATAATCCAAAATAATTGCGTTGGCCAAAGGGCGCAGTTGGCAAATGCATTTAAATAGTTGAATATTCTGCAAATCAACCGAGCTTGATAAATTATAAAAGTCCTTTTCCTTCTTTATTTTCGAATGCCATTCGCAGCAGCTTCACTTCAACTTCCGTTTGATTGTGTTTGGCACTTAATCCGGGCCAAGTGCAAGCTCATCTTTGGCATTCACACCTCCGTTTTCATATCCTGCCGAGCTAGCCAGACTGATGGCGGCCAGTTACATTTCTATTATGGCGAATATCTGACTTTAGCCAGAGAAGAGCAACAACGGTGATAAATCTGCACAGTGCTCTCAGAACTTTTGCAATTTTTCAGCAGAGACGAAACTTGAACACTTACCGAACGGCAAATAGAAATATTAAATATTTAAAAGTACTTTGGTTCGCCTTTTTATATTAATATTTAAAGTGCTCGCAGCCTTGACTAAAAGTTCATGCAAATGGGACAAGTTGCGAGCACCTAAATGGTTTTCTTTTTTTTTTTTTTATGCGAGAATTGATGTGAAACGGAGGCAGCCTTGGCAGCTAGTCGTAAATCTAATTGATCATATGCTTATTCCCAGGAGCTCATTATATACTATCTCTTTGCTTTGGCTTTATTACGTCCACAGCTAAGCAAATTGCTCAATATCAAAGCAGAGAAAATCCATATTCGGGCTATAAAAGCTGGCACCGAGCTGTCAGCCTGGCTAAATAAGTTTCGGACAAGGTGCAACATGCAGCTGCACGAGTTTATGCACTACCCGAGCATTGGCTGTCGACTGGTTATGATGCGCCGCTACGAGTGGAATGGCAGCGGAATGCCCCGTGCTCATCAGAGCTGGCTGCAGCGTCTGTGGTTTCAATTCGGCGCACTGAATTTGATCTATCAAAACGTGGGCTTGCTCATCTATTTGTGCCTGGCAGAGCCCCCCGACGAGCTGGGCGCCTATATTGCACAGATTTCAGAAACATGCAGCGTGCTGGGCCTCACCTTGGTCGGTGCCTCCAATATGTGGATGATGCTGCACCGTCGCAGCGATATTGAGTCGATGCTCGCCGAGCTGCAGCAGCTGTATCCCGCGCAGGGCAATCACAGCCGCATCTATCGCATTGCCCATTACTATGAGAAGTCGACGCGGCTAATGAGATACACGGCCATATTCTTCATCTTCGCTTACGGCTACTACAATGCGCTGCCCGTGGCGGGGCTGCTGTACGAGCTGCTCTCCGAGTCGCAGCAGGTCACCTACAAATACCAGAGCGATACCTGGTATCCCTGGCTATTAGTGTCCGATCTGCACGCGTCGGCCAGTTTTATGACATCGTATCTCTGCCAGGCTCTCTCCTCCCTGGTGGGCGTCGCATTCATCATGGCGAGCCAGTTTTTGCTCTGCTTTTTCATTACACAAATGCAGCTGCATTTCGATGGGTTGGCCAATGGCTTGCGTCTGCTGGACGCTGCTCGTCCTGGTGCTAATGAAGAGCTCAAGGCCTTGCTTTCGTATCACAGCCGCCTGCTGCGCCTTGCCAACAGAATCAATCACATCTTCAACTTTACGTTCCTAATTAACTTTACGACATCCACAATCGCCATCTGCATGATGGGCTTTGCCATGGTCATGATCGATGTGGCCGCAGCCTTTAAATACTCTGTCGGATTGCTTGCATTTCTGGTGTTCACACTCTTCATCTGCTACAACGGCACCGCCTTCACATCCGCGGTAAGTCCCCGCCTCGAAAGGCCAGATATACTCAAGTATTCCCTTGCAGAGCGACAAACTTCTGCCGGCTGCCTTTTACAACAATTGGTACGAGGGTGATTTGCTCTACAGAAAGATGCTGCTCTTCTTTATGATGCGCTCCTCCGAGTCCCGAGTGCTGCGGGCCTACAAATTTACGCCCGTTTCGATGGCCACCTACATGGCCGTAAGTCAATGAATATAAGTATTTCTACATGTTAAATTGCTTACTATGCCTTGTTGACAGATCCTAAAGTTCTCATATCAGCTGTTTACGTTTGTGCGTGCGATGATATAGGTTCTTTTAGTAAAGACTTTAAAGAAAGTTTCTAATTGCATATTTATAATTAAATAAAAATAAAGCAAAAAATGGCTTTCATTATTAGATCCATCTCTTAAATTCCCAGCTATATATAGAGTAATTATCATACGGAAATTTGAATAATTTATACTCAAAATAATCAAAATTCTTAGTGGAATTCAATTTTATATTTTTTAATTTTTAATTGATTTTTTTTAAAGTTTGTAGTTGGTAATTTTTTTTTATTAAAAAAGAAAAATAAAGCAGCTAGAAATAACTTGAATTATTTGGTTCAGCTTTTAATTATAGAGCTATACAGAATGTAAACTTCATTATAAAAATCAATATAATATGTTCTGAAGAAAGTCCCCAAAATTTGTTATCGAATTAATTTGTATCATCTTTTAACTAGAAATTAAATTGCACTGAGAAATTTAATAGCTTGTAGTTGTTTATTTATAATTAAATAAAAATAACTACAACCTCCTTTCATTATTTAATACAGCTATTAATTGCAGAGCTATATATAGAGTAATTACCATACGAAAATCAACATGTTATATATTGAAGAAAATCCGAAAATTCATAATTGAATTAAATTTTTTATTTTTAAATTGGAAATTAAATTACTATATATAAGGTATTTTACACTTGCTATTTTTATATTTATAATTAAAATCAGTTAAAATGACTTTCAGTATTAGATCCAACTCTTAATATAGAGTAAACATCATTATAAAATCAATATAAATAATATACTTTAGAAAATCTGCAAAGTTCGTAATCGAATTAAATTTTGTATTTTTAAACTGAAAATTGAATTGCGTCCAGGTATTTGCTTTAATGTGCTGAGCGGCTGCCAGGCAGCGGCAGGCGAACTTATTAAAATTGGATCAGGTCCAGAGGTTGTTCGTCTGGCTCTCATTCAAGCGAGTGAATTTCTTCAATTCCATTTGCCAGCAGCAGCATTAGAAGCCGTTTCATGTGCCTTCAGTCCCTTGGTTATTTACGTTAACATAGAATGCAAAAGCGTAAAATTAAGTTCGACTCAATGGGGGGAGAGGGAGGGTAAAAGTAAAAATTGAGAATTATGTACAAGTCACCTGGCTGTTATTATGTCTGTCTGTCTATCTGACTGTCTGTCATGCAGTAGTCCGTGTTGACTGTACAGGTTGGGCTGGCTGGCGTGTGATTATCGCGTCGTTATCCGGGATCAGTGGCTGGCCTCGGCGGCAGCCACTTGGCACCACCAGCTTTGCCCGCCCGCCGTCCGTGTCCCGGGCCCTCACTTTTATTTTATATAATAACATTTTAATTCCCTTAATACACGCTACGCTGCCTGTAAAGCTAAACAAACTGAAAGCCGCAGCCCCATAGCCCTCGTCTGTTGACGTTGAACGTTGGACGTTGGACGTTGGACGTTGCCTGCTCTTAGGCGCACAAGCTGCTCGCTCCGTTTTAGGCGGGTTTTTTCTCCTTTCCTTTTGTGTTTATATTTTTTTTGCTCTGTTTCGTGTTTTTTTTTGCTTGTTGGCGTAAATCATTAATCATAAGCTGCGCATATTTATTGTATTCTGCCCCTGTTGACAGCTTTTAGTTGCGCCTGGGCATGACCACGGATAGTCCTGCGTTCGCCATTTACCACGTGCACTCACAGCACTCAGCTAGAATTTATGGTTTTGCCTCAGAGTCGGCTGGGCGCTCGCATCTGTAATTCAACATTAAAAAGCTGAAAGTATTCGCCTTTGACATAAGCATCTGATTTACTAAACTCCAAATGCGAAAAGCTCAGATTAGAGACAAATAGAAAAGGTGAAGTACTTACTTAAAGCTAAACCAACTAGCCGGCTGCATGCTTTAATACGTGTTTTGTGGGGCATCACTCTGCTGATTTCTTATGGGTATTGTGTGGGGCACATTGAAAACCCAAACACAAAATGCGATGTGTGCCAGTTAATTTACCCATCAGCTTTTGGGCGCTTAGACAATGCCCAGTTGCAAATTGCCCAATCAAGTGAACTGACCAGCAAACCCTCCTAGAGAACATGCACACAAACAGACACGCACACACACACACGTATATGTATATACAAACAGAGTACATTTGGCTCTGATGGCCATGTGCAGAGGATACACACGATATCGACAGTGGCTATAAAAGTTGACTATGCACTGAGATGGGCCAGATCAATGCAGCTTCAAGCGTTTTGCTGCCGGTTTGCGGTGGTTCGCTGCTCTTAGCCATACACTGGCTATGGCCTTGATAAGTTTTAAGCAAACAAAGTCGGCTCGTTACAGCACATGAATTTTTGGACAGGGACTCTTGCGTAGAGCATTTGCCCACTCACGGCCTCTCCGAAATTGTGCCCCTTGAGCAAGCCGCAAAATGTAGTTAAGGCACATGTCTCAATTTCCTACTGCAAGTCTAAACGAGTCTGCGGGCCAAAGGGCGAAAGCCTCAGGTGCAGTTTGTGCTAACTATCGGTAATTATCCGTGGCTGAGAAGCCAGAGCAGAGGCTGGTTTGTATGGGGCGAGCGCTCCTAATTGCATTAGCATATACTCAGTGAGCTAACATTTATTTATGGATATATAAATATGCTCTTGTTTGAAGTCTTCAAAAGCAACATAATAAGCTGATGAGCAGCTGAAAGAATGATAAGCCTCTGCGAAAACAGGAGAGAATAATTAAATCTGAAAAGGAGAAAGAGAAGAGGAGCAGCACTTGTATGGGATTAATGAAGGATAATCAAGACAAGAGTCTTAACAGGAATTCCCTTAGTTTGAAGTGCGAAAGGATAAAGTGATTTAGTTGTAGCCAATGCAAATTCATCTTTATTTATGTGCTCCAGGCTAATGCGTGCATACGTTTATTTATGCTCTGTAATATGGAAAAGCATTTCGGTCTGCATTTGACTTTCGCACTCTCCATCAATTACTTAGTCTTATCTGCGGGGGTCATATGGTGTCGGTGTCGGGGCGAGCGCGCGAAAAGAAAATACATATAAAACAAATAACGAGAAACCAAAATTTTTACACACAATTTAGAGACATTTCCGCACGTAGCCAACTACGGTCGCCCCTAAGCTCCAACTGTGCCATGATGTCGCGTTAGAAAATAGCAAAAAAAGAGAGAATTTTTATATATATATATTCCCACTGCGGAGAAAGCCATGAGATGAGAGCTTAAAAAAGAAAATATATATATATATATATATATATATATATATGTGTATGTATGTATGTATGAGAACAAAAGCCATGAAAAAATGTAAGTTTGTTACTCTTGAACGAAGTGCATGTACACTGTAAAAAATGAGTGATTGAAGGCATAATTATAATTGCTTTTATAGTCATGTGTAATGCTAAAAGGCATTACACAGTCGAGTCTCGATAATTTGTATCCCGCTAAATTGTAAATCGCAATAAATAAATAAAAATCATTGAACACGAATTTCGTTCAAGGATATATATATATTTCCTTGAACGAAATTCGTTCTCAATGATTCTCGATAATCTGAATTTCTGTGTAAATCAGAAAAGAAAAACTGATCCCCTTGCCAGTTCGAGCTTTTATTGTCTCTCTTTATTGTCTTTTGCTATTTTTTTTTTAAATAATTTTATAGATTACCTATTTATAGTGTATAAAGAAGTCGTCAAACTGGAGTAACAAAACATTTCAGTATGCATGAATGTACCTACTTGGCCGCCTGCTGCTGTTGCTGCTGTTGTTGTTGTTGTTGTTGTTGTTGTTGTTGTTGTTGCTGTTGTTGCTGATGTTACTGCTGCTGCTGCTGCTGCTGCTGCTGTTGCTCCCGCAAAGCAGTTGGCGGTTCTGGAACGATGGATTCAAAACAATGCTCGTGGTGCTCGTGGCATGACAGCATTTATGTCTATTAAACAAGTAATAAACTTCATAAATTTAGCAAATTGGAATTATTAAATTTGTTGGCTGTGGCGTATATTTTGGTCTTCTCTCTGGCGACAGGCTTTGCAGGCGTTTTGCATTAACGCTAATGGAGTTGCTCAATGGCTCACTCAAGCAAAGCCGAATAATTGATGGGCCGTAATTTGCTAAAGCAGTGACAGCTTGGCCAAAGCCGGACTGTTTTAAGCCTAATCTCTGGCAACAGGTAGCCACCCACCGCAGATGGATTTGTCAAAGTGCATTTGTAGTGCCGTTATTTGAATGCTGCTCAAATGCGGCGTGCGGCGTGCGGCATGCAGCATGTGGCGTGAGGCATGCAGCGTGGCACGCTAATAAAGTCATCAACATCACTGAGAGCTCGACACATCGCGTCATGTGATACTCTTTGAGCTGTAACCGCAATACAGCGGTGCAGGCGGCACGAGCTGACGAGCTGACCACGCCGTCAGAACGCCACCTATTTCCAATTACCGCTGACGCTGCAGCTGGTGTGTCGGTGGTGTCAGTGCCCTGGATCTGCCACTGCCACCGCCACTGGCCATGATTGATTGCAACAAAACCAGATTTTGGTCGCTGTCATTTAAGCGCCGGCTAACTTTCGACATCGTCCGAATACATTATTGACATGAGCGACCTTTTGCTTGCTCGCACGATGCGGCTCATTGCGTCCATAAGGCGGATCACAATTTAAATTACGGCACGGCTGCATTTTTTAATTAAGCCCAAATTAAAAATTGATTGCTTTTTGTCGCCGTAGCTCGCTGGCGATAATGCGATGTGGCCCAGCCAACTGAACTGTACAGCTATCCGGGCAAGCCAGGTTAAGTCAGGCCAGGGCAGGGCAGCGCGTTCGATATTTGTGGCATACTTTCAGGCGCGAATATATCAACATATTTTTGCTGATTTCATGCTCTTCTTCTTGCCCGTTGATTACACGTTTTAACACAATACGGCGAAGGTTGAGCGTGCGTGCCACATGCGATGCGAAAAGTTTGAGTAT